AGAGGGAGACAGAAAAAGAAGACAGTGTTGTTGACCTAGGGGAGTCTCAAGGAGAAGGGGATGATGAAGACGAAGGAGACGGTAGCCAGACTTCATTGAAAAGTTCTCGTCGATCCAGTCTGGCCAAGAGGATTGCTAACTCCTCAGGCTACGTCGGCGATCGCTTCAAATGTGTCACCACTGAGCTGTATGCTGACTCCAGCAAGCTGAGCCGTGAACAGAGAGCTCTGCAGGTAAGGCCCTTAACAACTGTGGGTGTATACACAGTACAGGATATATTTGCTCAAGTTTGTGTTGGACTGGAGAGAGGTCATTATGACCAACATTTCTTATGTGCAGACATTTCAAACATTACTTTCAATTCCAGCATCCACACAGGAATAAACCCCAAATGGCTGCTGAATTTCCCTTGCTGCAATATTCAGAACTGCCTGTGGAACAAACCCTGCATGAAATTTACATCCTCTGCATTTACCACACAGTATATTCTAAGCGCTGATGTGCTACTGTCCTGCCCATAGGCGTGACCTTTCCCGTAGTTTATCATTGTCTTAGTGAGCTAGTGCAAGGCCAGTCGAAGCACTCTATCATGGAGGTCAGTTCAAAGGTTAACTAGGGCTGCCATCTCTGTATGTTGATTAGTGAGCAGCCATTGTAAAGGTTATTTCTGTGCGTGTGTATTTGTGTGTCCATACGTGCTTGTCCTTGTGTGACTGCCTCGGGGCTAAAGCATGTGTTAGTGCTGACTGTGTTACAGAGCTGTATACTGTAGTTTCAGAGCATGACTCTGGCAGCCTCACAGTTCACACTGCCTTTGGCTATGCTTAACCTCAAGGTTAGGGGCAGTGGAGGGCTTGCACTGTGCTTAAAACCCAGCAGCTACCCTCTTTTGGGTTCCTCCTAGGCAATGTGCATGCACCCAACCGCCAGTTGCTATTCTCCTCCAACCCTCCTCCCTCTGATGGCCTGTGTTGCCCTGCCTGGTTGCTGTCCAAGGTCCTCACCCCATTGGCTATAAACCCTCTCTGCTAACACGGATCACACTACATCTATAAACGCACAATTACAGCAGTGTCCCCTGCACTTGGCCATCATCCCCTGTCATCCATACACGCACACTGAGCTGTTCGTTTTAGACTGTTATTTGTGGTTCCTTATGCTCGACATTCAGCACTGAAACAAAAACGAACCCTGTGCTGTATTATCCACTGACTCAGAGGCAGATATGTTAACAAGTTGCACATTTCTGTCTGTGTGGTGAACGCACCACAGAAAACTGGTTTTGTCTTATGTCGTGCTTGTCAATGCACAGCTGCAACACAAAGCTATCAAATGCTCTGTTTCTGGACATGTACAAATTAAATGCGGAAGTCTTTGGGGGAGGGGAATACATGAGACCGCTAAAACTGAATTAGCATTATCAATCATGGTTCCACTGAACACATTGTTTTGATTTTTAAATTTGTCACTCAGAGTTCAGAAATGATTTGATAGTTTTGATGCAGTGTTAACTGACCTGTTGAGTCACTTTAATTTGATTATTTTGTGGGATTGTGGCTGCATATTGTCTGTAAAGAAACATGGAGAAACAAATTCATTTAAAAGAGATGAAATGATGGACAGATATATTGAGCCCCCACCCCCCATTCTAATTGCTTAGATGGAAGTCATATCACGAGAGGGGAGTAATATAAGTCAACCTGCAGCTAACTGGGAGGTCAGTTCTTTACATTTTCTTATCACATCTATCTCTGATGGCCTCTCTCTCCTTTTTACTGTGTATTTCTGCATACTCCCACCCCCGACACCCCCTACTTCTTTCTTTTTGTAATCTCCTCTCTCTGCCTCAGGGCTTAGATGTATATGTTTCCTAGCCATATTTATGTTTCAGGAAGGGATATGCCAGGACTTAAGCCCCAGAGCGCATGGACTCACAGCGGCTACAGTAGTCTAACCTGTGTTTTGATGCCCTGCTTGTGATTTATCTGTAAACCTTTTTGTCCTCTGTGCATTTTGTGTGCGTGTGTGTGTGTGCGTGTGTGTTTGAGTTGAATTTCTTTGGCATTTTCTTTGATTTTCAGACAATGTGATTTCTGATGCAATTTTTGCTTCTGTAGCTGTTGAGGCCAGATTGAGGTTTAGAGAGGTGTGTGTGCGGCGTGGGCAGATGATGAGTGGTTTTCATGGGTATTCTCTGCATTTGTGTCTGTGTGTGCATGTACGCGCAGCGGGCAATGATACGGTTCTCGGAGCTGGAGCTGAAGGAGAAGGAGGGCGGCGGTGTGTGTGTGTCTGCCTCGGCAGCAGGACGGGAGCTGGCAGACGGTCACCGCAGAGAGCGAGCACTGGAACACTGCCAACACACCACCAAGCAGGGAGAGAGGGAGGGTGAGTAACGTAGCACCACATACACACACTCATAACACACATGCACGCACACACACTCGCACACATGTCCAGCCACTCTGCAAAAGAACACTCACAGGGACACACACAAACAATATGTGCACATACACATTCACATGTACTTGCAACAAATGCTGAGGCAAGACTGGGTCACTAAAAAAAGACGCACTATTCTGCACAGACTCACACTCTTACACAAGCTAGGCAGCGCTAGGAAGCAACAGAGACGGAGTGGGGGAGTTTTATTTTCAAGAAGCCTTTTGTGCTTATCTGCACAGAGAGACGATCGAGAGGGAGGGGAAGAGGGGAAGGAGGGGGAGAGATTGCGTGAGTAGGAGAGAGTGAAAGTGGGGGGGAGTCGGTGGGTGAAAGCGGATGGGAGAGTGCAACGGAAAGAGAGGGAGGGAGGGGAGGATGAGAGGTTAGTTACGTTGGCTGAAAGCCCAGCTGTGTGTTGGAGCGAGGCTGTGGCTGACGTGTGAGCCTAATTATGGCATGGAGAGAGACAGAGAGGGAGTCAAGGAGAGAGGGGAACGGGGGCTTGAGGGGGGATAGAGTCACGCTCTGTGTGAGAAGGGCGTGGTGCGGTCATGCCGTGGGGGAGGACAGAGAAGGGGGGTGGGAGGGAGCAGAGCCGCCGTGTGCAGTGAGCGCGCAGGATGTTTTCCTGCCTCTCCTCGCTGGATGTGCGAGCGGCTGCACTGAGCCTGTCAGGCCACTGACTTGGCTCACATCAGATTAAAAAGTCTTTAGCCCATCAAAGTTTTACTGCCTGTCTTTAAAGAAGAATAAAAGCTGGCTGGTGTTTAACTGGCATACTCTCTCTTTCTCAATCCCCCACTCCTTGTTTCCCTGCTCTCGTTCTGTCTGTCTGGTTGGTTTGCGGCCTGTCTACATTCTCTCCCTATGTGCCCATCATCTTCTGTTGCCTGGTTTGGCTCTGCCCGCCCCACTCTTCTTCCATCCATCTGTCTGTGCTCTGCTCAGGTCTTCGGCCAGTGTACACTAACAACAGAGTTCCAGTCCTCCAGAGGTGTGGAGGCCAGAGGGAGCTTTTGTCCTCAGGGCAGGGGCCCCGGGACGTGGCCAGAAGTGCCAGCCAAGGAGGGCTAAAGGATGGAACCAGGAAGGTGATGAGAGAACCAGAAGGTGGTCATTGTATTCCCCCTATTTTGACACCAGCAAAAGGGTTCGCTGAGGAAAAAGCCAGCCCTGCCTTTGGACCCACCAGGAAACGCCCTCTTGGCCCCAAGGCTGAGCAGGAGGACACGGAGAGGGAGGAAGGAGAAAGGGTGTCCCACCCAGACAAACGAATCAAGCTTTCTACAGGTGAGAAGATGCCACATTATCCACATGCCACGCACTCCCATTTTCCTGAAATGGTCTCCCTCCTCTCTTTATCTGCTTTCCATACATCTCTAATTCCGCCCACTCCTATTCCCTTCATCTTGTGTGATGTTGAGCCCCATCTCATCCCTTGTTCCTAAAAAAAACCCACATTTGTTCCTTTTGTAGTTTCTTTCTTCCTAATCAATTCCACCTTAAACCTGCTCCATCACAACCCCCATCCCTCCTTCCCACTCTCTGTCCCATCTTTCGCTCTGTGTGGCAGCCAGCTCAGAGAAGTGTTTAATCCTGCCTTTGAGCGGAGTGCAACAGAGAAGTGAGGAAGAGGGACAGCCATTCTCTCTTTCGTCTTTCAGCTCTGCCGTTCCTCCGCTGTGCTAACCCACCCTCTTCAAAGCTGCTCTTTTCTTCTCTTTTCATCTCCTTTCTTTTTTCCCTCATCTGTTTGGGTTTCCTTTTTTTCTGGCGTGCAGTATTGTGCTCGCTCTCTTTGGCACTGGCAGACGAGTCACATACCCGCTCCCTGTGAATTTCAGGAGGGAAAACTCCCTCTGCTTCTCTGGTCTTTATTGCTTTGTTTCTCAGCCAGATTCTTGACTTGTCTCCCCTTTTACTCTTCAATCTGTCAGTTTCACGTACTGCTTCTTGTTTCTCCTGCCTGTGTGTGTTTGTTAAATGTAAAGCTTTCTATGCCATTAAGATGTCGTAATTAAAGGTCTTTGTGCTCAGTTGTCTGCAGGTTGGTATAAATGTACATACAGAAGGTCAGTTATGTCTTTGAAAGGCTAAAAACCTTTTATGTCCAAAATATCAGCTCATAGACGCTTCAGAGACAAACTACATTTCTGAGTTTGTTTAATGGTTTTAATTATAAGGCTAAATATGTAATGAGAATTCTGTCATCTTGTAGCGAGGGTGAAATCTTAAAAAGAACTAAAACTGTGATGTGTTCAGGGATGCAAACTTGTCACCTTTCAGTGAAATGTGTTGTTTTTATGTCCATGTTGGACAAAGTGATGTGTGAGCTACAGATGATACATTTTGTAGGATTGAGTTCTGACACTTTCAGGTAGTTTTTAGCTGGTGCTGATCGTCGCCGTTTCCTCTTAAAATGACGAACAGCAGGGTCATGTCAGCTGTTGCTATCTAACCTTAATTCCCTGACTTATATTGATGACAGGCCAAAATGCAACTTGCTGTTGTCGAGTTTGTGCGCTCACTGCAGGCTGGTAGGAAGCGGATTTCAAAACGCCACCTCTGTCTGCCAGAGGGGTTTTTTTGTTTGAGGTTAAAGAAGTGTCACTCTAACACCAATGATAATCAGCGGACTGAGTGTTTCTGTAGTTTGAACATCTTCCCTAATTAAACTATCAGGTCACAATCTTCCAGTTAAAATTTTATTCACATCATGTCAATAAATCAGATCAGTGGAACTGTATATGAGAAACAATTTCCATGTTTATGGGGTTTGCAGATACGCACGAGCAGGCTAATGAAGATGATGATGACGAAGTGCGGAAGCTCAAGGTCTGCATCGAGCTGAAGGGACTGCGGCTCAGCAAGCCTACCACTGGCACAGCTTCACCTGACGGGACCCAGGTCAGACAAGACAGAGCATGGCCCCAGCACCGGTTGTTCCCCACGGCCCAGAGCTTACAGGAGCGTAAGATCAGGACCGATGAGACTGAGGACAGAGCCGCAGTAGAGCGAAGTGAGATCAACAGGAAATGGGGTTGTGAGAAGATACTTAATGGTAAGAATGAACCGCCAGCCATGCAAACCACTTCTGTATCTCTGAGTTCAGCTAGGGTAACGGAAATCTATCTTTGGCTCACGTTTCACTTTCTTTGTTGAGCATTCTGTCTTTAGGGAATTTCCCCTGAACATTTGGGGAGAGGGCAGAGGAAATGAGGTAGCGAATGCTTCCTCTGGCTAGGAGAAAGGCTTCAGAATCAGAAACGCAACCTAAGGACTAGAAGTTAAAACGCTCCCCTCCTTGTGGTTTTGGGCTTTTAGTTCAGTTGGTCTACAGGGGACTCTGTGACAATGATGAAAGAGCAAATGAGGAAAGTGGCTGGTGGAGATACGTGTGGGCAGGTGTAGCGTGACTAATGTGCGATCAGTGATCCCCCCCCTTTAAAGACCAATTGCGGGAAAAGGGAGGGCGTGGAATGTGTGTGCGGGTTCTAGCTTATTAGAACCAGGACTTTCCCTTATTTATGTGCCCAGATTGAGACAGAGGGGAGGCACAGACCAGGATGAGAGAATAAAAGAGCAGGAGAGACATAAAAGGAAGTGAATAAAGCAGGGGAGATTGTGGTTTTATGCTTCCTGCAGAAATCACAGACCTTGATTGGCCACTGAAATTTTTTTATTTTTGCTTTCACCTTTTTATAGATGACATCACCCAGGCAACAGCCACACTGTTAACAATAAATGGGGTTATTCCACTGTGTGTCTGTCAGGGCTGTCTTTTTCCCTTCTTCAGTTTTTTCAAAATTCCACTAATCAGATGGCAAAACACATTCATCTCTGTTAGGAATCTGGTCTTCTTTTCCTGCAACAGGGCTTACATAGTATCAACAAAATATATCATTTCACTTTGTTTCTCATTTGTTCCCAGCCTGTGACTGATTTAATGGGCTATTTATTGTAAAGGTTGTGCCCTAACACAAATCAGACCTAGACCACACTGTTGAGCGGTTAGAAATGTGGTGATATTTTGAAGGAAATTTATTTCCATTAGGTATTTTAATAGCATTTTGACATTGTGGTCTAAGAGGCAGGTTTTAGTTTAAGGAGATTACTCAAAACGGTGTCCTTGCTGCAGTGAATGAGTGCACACAAGTCACATCGTTGGGGGTTATGTGAGCCTGCAAGTGTGTGTGCTTATCTTTTTTAATTTTGTTTTTTGTTTGTTCCTGAGCGAGCAGGCATGCTGTGCTCCCAGACAGCTCTGTGTGCTCATTAATAAACCAGCAGAGGGTGAGGGATGGCCTTGCAGTACCTTCCCATCCTCCCCTTCCGCTGAGCTCTCACACTATAAGCCGCTCACTCTGCCTCCCTCTTTTCTCTCCGTCTGCTCCAGGAGTAGCTACTTCTCCCCTTCCCCCCGGCCAGCTGAAGGACAGATCGCACCCGTTGGGCCCCTTCTCAGGTGACCGTGGCCTCAAGGAGCCCAGAAGAGGCCCCCCTTCTCCAGCCCCAGAGCTGTCTGTGGGAGGCACCCCTTGCCTTAAACCTCGTCGGCATAGTGATGCGGACAAACCCAAGGGCAAGCGGCCCTGCAAGACCAAACACACCAGTCAGAAGGAGCGAGAGCAGGAGAAGAAGAAAGAAGCCACTCCTAACAGCCCGGGCCAACACTGTGTGGCTGATCTGGGAGCAGCTGGAGATGACAAGGTGAGTGCTGATAGGGTGTCTGACCATGATACAAGCGTCTGGATACTTGCAGCAGCGGAGTCTGTTTCAGTATGCCTGTCGGCGCCTCTGATTATGCAGCTGGGAGAGGAAGGGAGGGCGGGAGGAAGGAAGCATGTTTACAATGTTTAGAGGGCTGCTGGAGCTTTGACCTCATCGTGCCCTTAGAGACTCCCTGCGGAGTGCCTGTATGCATGTGTGCTTGTCTCTAGCCTTAATTGTCCAACGTGTGTCATCGGCGCTGCTTTGTGTGTCAGTGCGTGCCAAGACTGTGCATGTTTGTGAGCATAACAACAAAGCCCTGGAGCAATTACACATCGCTCTCAGTGCTCAACACAAGATACACACACACACACACACACACACACACACACACACACCCTCACTCACACAGTGAGGAATGTGGTCGAGTGTCTGAAGCGCCTGAGTTCAAAGGAGTGGAAAAAAAAAAAAAGAGCATTGGGGAAAAACCTAAGGTGGGGGGGGCTAGTTGTTTTCTGCCCATGCAGCTTTCCTCCACTGCTCCTCCTCAGCCTGACAGCTGCTTCAACATGGAATTCCACTGAGAGGGCACACACTTCACTCACACACAGACTCGCACAGAGGGAAGCAACTCCCTCTCTCATGTGTTGCGCACTGAGGGCTCTGTTGGTTTAGCGGTTAAAGAAAAGCGGCATGCCGACCTGCAGTGTTTGGTACGTGAACAGTTGGTGTGAAAGCTGTGTGTGTTTTTCACTGACTCATAGTGTGTCATACACAGTAATCATACAAAAACACAGATGTTGTAAATGAAAAATCCATCTATATTTTAAGCTATATGCTGTAGTGTACAAAACAGGGTGTGCTGAGAATAAGAGAGAGAAAATATCCATAATTATTCTGTCTGTATGTATTTTGGCCTTAAAGCAACCCCTGACAAAATTGTCATATACTTAAACCAGTTTTGTATGTCACCTTCTTATTTTGTCTAAAAAAAACCCTTTCATATAATTCTGTCTGTTCATATACACTCAGCTACTTCTTATTCTTTGTGTGCTCATCTGTCTTTGTGTAGACTCATCCATGTGCCCTTGAGTGTCCGAGTGTGTCTCTGTGTGAATGTGTGTCCCTTCTGTTATGTGGCAGGGGATGTAACACTCTCTCCCCCTCTCTCACACTCTCCTCAGCTGAGTGAGCAGTGCGGCGCTCCGAGGAAAAGAGTGGCCTCTCCTAATCATTATCCGGACTCTCCAGTCAAGCCCTGCTCCCCTGCTGCCCTCTGTCCACCCTCCCTGCAGCCCCAGGCGAACGGCAGAGCAGGCCTTGTCCCAGTGGAGTCGGCCCCCCCCCTGCCGAACCCCCCACGGTGCGTCCAATCCCGCCAGAGGCCCGTCGGCTGATTGTGAACAAGAACGCTGGAGAGACTCTGCTCCAGAGAGCTGCGCGCCTGGGCTACGAGGTAATGGGCTTCGCTCCAAGTCATCCTCCCTCCTTATCTCTCGCTCTCTTCACATTTTACACTCTTACGCTTCATTTCCTCCTAATCTTCACCCTCTCTCTCTCTCTTAAATTGAGCTCATTTTCTCTGTTGCCTTGTACCTGCCTCTTGCACACTTTTGCTCAACTTTTTTTCTAGAATTGTCTGACTTCTCTACATTCTCCTCTCGCATCTGTCCTATTCTTCTTCTACCATTTTATTCTATTTCAGCCGTACTCATGCTTTCTTCTTGCCATACTCCCATCGTTTTTGCTCCTCTTGCCCATTACTATCTTTCTCTCGCTCAGGTTTCCGCTCTCTCCCTCCCCCCTTTCCTCTCAGCGCTCTCTTTCTCTTCCTCTCTTTGTGACTCAGATTGTCGTTGGCACCCCTCCTCCTCCCCCTGAGCGCACACACTCCTGCCTCCCCTCCTCTCGCCTTGCTCCGCTCTCACATCTCATTAATTTTTCGTGAGGAGAAGTGTGACACACATTCACACACGTAGGCACATGCACGTGCGTGCGCAGGCAGCATGAGGGATCGGTGGGATCATTATACGGAGACTGATGCTCACAGCCTCTCTCTAGCATCAGGAGCTTTTTTTTTTTTTTTTTTTTTTTTTTTTTTTTGTGCTTTTGTTGTTAATTTGAAAATGTTGGTGAAAATCGGGCATAGCATATTTGAGTATAAGTTGAATCAAAGATGGAAGTTAAACTCTTCTTACGTATGTGTCTGAGTAACAGAGGGTCAAGAGTCTTTTAAAACTGCCACACTGCATGTTTCAAGTGTTTACTTAGGGAGGAGGGAGGAGAAAACCTGAGACTACACAAACAAGGCGCTGACCGCTGCGCAAACAACACCCCCCCCTTCCCCTTCTCCCCCTTCCTCCCTCCCTTTCTTTCTCTCCCTCTCAGGAAGCTCGTCTCTCACTGCCTGTGTGTGATAAGCCTGGGGCAGACCCCTGGGGCACACACACACACACACACACACACACACACACACACACACACACACACACACACTG